GGTAACGAACGACGGTATGGTGCCCCATTTCCCGGTGGAAGTCACAATATCAGTCCAGGTTTCGCTCATTGGGCGGTCCCCTCATTGGTCCAGGCCACCGCACATGGTAGCCCTTTTCCTTATCATATTGGAGCATGTTATGCATCATATCGTTAACTTTCGTGAAGGTGCCGGCTCCCCGGGATGATGGATGCCCAACGTCTATCCTTCTTGCTGGCGTAGAGTGCATCGACGTATAAACTGGCCCAGGTGAGGTTGCCGGCCTTTGTGAGGCCTCGCCTTCATCCCCTCTAGCCCGACGCCTGTTGGCTCTTCTTGCTGCCAAGGTCTCTTCCAACATAATCACTTTCTGCACCCTATGGTCTAGGTCCTCCGTAGACATCACCTCCCTCTTTGTCAGTGCCCTGAACAGTTCCTCGTTGGTCGTGCACTCATTCAAGCAACACCCCATCACAAGCGGCTAAACATCTTTCACAGCTATAGCCACTAAGAGCCCTCTTTAATAGAACTCCCTTAAAGCCTCTCCCTCCTTTTGCTTGATTTTGAAGAAGGCGCTTATGGTCAGAGAGTGGCGCTTCCTACTTGCAAACGTCGCCAAAAATATCGCTGCACATTGTTCAAAACCCTCTATGCGTCCCTCCTCAATCTGGTGGTATCAATCAAGCACTATGCCTGCGAAAGTCGACGGGAACACTTTGCACAAAGTATCGTCGGAGCTGTTGTAAAATGGCCTCACGGAGCAGTGTCAAGGAAGGCGCATGAGCATCCACCCGTTGCGGCCATCGAAATTTGAGCCCGCATGATCATTTGGGTTCCACATGGGTGTGGGGCGCCTTGGTTGACGGGACTCCCCCTCCGTCTCTGCAGTCCTCTCCCTTTTCCTGGAATTTGGGCTATTAACTACCCCTTCTTCCTGCTTCAGCGCCTCCACTTCTCACTTGAGAATTTCAATTGTTTCGTCCTGGTCTTCAATGATTCTAAACAGATCTTTCTTAGTAATTGAGGCGCCCTCTGAGTTTGGGTGCCTTGGCTCGCTCCCCATTCCTTTCGTTGTCTCGGGAGTCCGCTCCCTTGACCCTTGGGACGATTTCCCATGATCAGTTCCTCCTCTCCACTCGCAGGTGCCTCCCTTTTTGTAGCTATCAGTCGTACACCCCTACTTGGTGCGCCAATTGTTTGTGCCCAAATCATCTGGAGACTGATCCGCCGAGCGCCTACTTCCCATAATACGTTCCTTAGGCATCTTACCTACACACACGAGCATAGGGGGGGGGGGGGCGCTCGGCCCCGTTAGCCCTCCAACGATCAAGTCATAATGAGTTCAAGGGAGAGAATTGTCTAACTCTAGTTTTCTTAGTTAGAGAGTCCACCAATACTATTTATACTTACTCATCCTTCGACTAGGTTCCTCCATTGAAGTCCCACGTCAGCAACATATTAAATGACTTGTACTTTGTCTGACCCGGCGCCTCGACACATATGTCAGAATTTCAGACCGATGCTAGGCACCTTGTGGGGGACCATTGACAGCCTGTATCTCTTGGAACCTAGCAAAATTTGTCGCTACGTGGTCTCCTTTGCAAGACCTGAGCACTTTTAAGTCAGCTCCCGCCACCTTGGCCCCAGCGTGGGCTTGGCTCATGGAAAAGCCCATTATACCAAGTTAGAGCTAGGCTTCCACTTGGGCTTTTTTCTTCCATTAAAAAAAAGTTGGCATTTGTTTATTGTTTATTGACTCTTGACTTCTCCTCATCAATCATGCAACTTGGAGAATTACAAAATGGTGCCAAAGTTTTACTCGTTTATCTAATCAGTTTTTCAGGGTGGCGGAACCATTTTATATTTTAATCAGATTTTAAGTTAATTGTTAAGTTGTTGTTCATGCTTCCTCTAATTTAACTGCTTGAAAGGATCAATCAACCTGATGAAAGATTCATCAAACAGTCCCAAACACATACATGGTAATTTTAATGTGGAGAAGGGAACTTAAAAAAAGCTTAAGATAGAGATCAAACTTGGTCAGCTTCCAGAATAAAAGGGAAAAAATAAAAAGAGAAGAAATCTGGCTCCGCTTCTCCATTTTCATAAAGTCAAGTCAACGGTAAAATATCCCAACGAAAGTTGTTGTGCACCCTAGAGGGATGGTGACGGTTTGCAACATGACAACCCTATATTAAGGACTTTTTCCCAAAATATGTTAGAAATTAAAAAGAATTTCTACAATATATAACTCTTAAAAATATTTCTCAAAATACCAAAGTTTGACACAATTCAAATTTTCTAAACTCAATCCACATACTAGATCGACTTTTAAAGACTCGATCAAGAGCTAATTGATCACAAAAAACTCGATCAACATAGACCGATGTCGCCGGACTCGATCAGTAGTACATCAAGTTTGCACGACTAGGTCTAGGTTTATCGAAGCTTAACAACTCGATCAAATGCAGATCGATGACAAAAAAAACTCGGTCTACAAAGATGGATGTTTCTGGACTCAATCCACAGTACATCGAGTTTGCTCGACTCGATCTACGTTAATCGTGGCTCTATGACTAAATACATATGAATTATTGCCCGACGAATATTGGTGGCACTATATCGAGGATTATGGACCCGATCTGCGTATAGTTCGAGTGCTAGAGTCTCGAACCAGTTTTCAATAATTCTGCCCAGTCCCTTTCCGCCCGACATGCTTCAGGATAGGGTGCAGTGATAAGATTTTTGGTGGTTGTGGATTGAGTTCATTGCACTCGAACTACACTAGTTCGATTGACAAGGCCTCAAATCATGTCATCATTATACGAAAATAAAAACCAAGCTCTCAACACATTCTGGCAGCTCATATACTTTCTATCTTCTTTCTTCCAAACACAAACTGCAACTGGAGCACCATAGCTGAGCAAAGAAGAAGCATTTTGGAGGTAAGTTTTGATTATGTTGGTGAGTGAGCATTAGAATTTCATATTAATTTAGTATTGTTTGAATTATATGTAATGGGTTGTTTCTAAAAACTGTAGAAATAGGTTGAAAATTTCGAAAATTCAACCTATTGATTCGGTGGAATGGTCGAATTACATATTTTCATAATAGTATTGATTACGAAGATGGTGAATCAAGTACTGCCAGATTGAGAGCACATTTATTTGGCAAGATCTCTGCCACATTTTTGCGGAACAATGTTGCATAAGGGGCAAAGAGTATGCAAGATGACTTATCATATGCCAGTTTACAAAGGATATGCACTTGTATGTGAAGGATCGATTCTGTCTGACGATGATGGATTTAATATGATGGTGAGATTTATTGCAGAAAACATATTTAAAATTGCCGATGTGTATGTCGAGACCGAAGATGTTGGCCAATATGGTGGTGGCGGTTATACTGAACAAGTTGAAGGATTGGGTGGAGTTTCCGGTTCTGAATATTTTGGAGGTCCGGATGCTGTACCATGGTCAAGATATGAGGATCGAACTGCCCCTACTGCATTGGTTGAACATGATGGACAAAAGTGGACAGTATGAGGTGAAGAATGGAATTACATAAGGGCACCCAGACAAGCATTTGGTATCAACAATGATCCATATGTGGATAAAAGACCTCCGTACACTAGCGAGGCAAGCGACATGGAAGAGGAAGATTTAGAATTAGTGAGTAGTTCAGATGGTGAAGATGTGGAAGTTGATGAGGTGGAATTTGATTTTTATCTCCCCACACCTCACTACACGATGGTGCCATAACATCCTCTCCATGCTCACAATGACGATCCTGACCTCACTCCTATACCCATCTAGACTCTTGATTCGGGGTTGGTCAAACATTTGGAGGAAAGCCTCAGGTGGTCAATGCATTGAAAGATACTGTGTTGTGAAGGAGCCTTCAATATCGTGTCATCACTTTCGACACTAAACAAATTCATGTTCGCTGCGAGAACCATTGTGACGGATGCATGTGGCATGTTCGGGCGACATATGTTAAAAGAAATGGGGCTTGACTCGTTCGTAAGACAGACACCAACTGATAATCGGCTTTAGTATATTGGATTCTTGAGCTTTACGTGACTATCCCATGATATGTTTTAAGCCGATTGATGCTATTTTAGGGCTTGTTAACCAACCATTACCACCGAGTGCCATGCGTTTGTGTGTTTTAGGTGAGAAAAATGAGAAATGTGATTGCACAAACAAAACGCAGCAATGGAAGCACGCTAAAAGGCCCAATTTTCTCCACCATAATTTCCCCATCCCAAAAGGAGAAGCCCGAGAAGGAATGGGCTCTTAATTTCATTAGTTTGTACGAGAATTGTAGAGCAATGGCAAAGGTGAACTATGAGAATTATTTGGCCCATCTTCTTTCTCATTTAGTGGGGACTTCAATTGGACAGGAGCTGGACGAGAATGGAGTTGTTGGGGGATTTTTCTGGCCCATCTTGTTTGCCTTCTTTTGAACTTTGAAGAGCTGAACGCAGCAGAGAGTGAAAACGAATTGGGCCGGGACAACACTATTTGGGGGAATTATTTGGAACACGGCAGGGAGGCAATTAATTAGTAGGGAAATTAATTGGGACGAAACATAATTCTTTTGGGCAAAAAGCAGCAGGGCGCAGCGCAAGTAGGGGTGGGCATCGGTTCGGTTCGGTCAAAACCGAACCGAAATGGAGCATACCGGATCCCCGATTTCATCTCAACCCCAAACCGAATTCGAACCGGAATATATTTCGGTTCGGACCATCCGAACTGAAATATATTCCGGTTCGGTCCGGTTTTAATGCTCAACCCGAAACCCTTCCTTCCTTTTGACTTCTAATCTGCCTTCTGCAAGACTGCAACCCCTCTCACTTTCTTTTTCCTTTTTCGACAGATCCATTCCCCTCTCTCTCCCTTTCCATTCATTTCTACCCCTCCAATTCTTTATCTCTCCTTTTTTCCAATCTTCCCCATACAACATCACACCACCAAAATCAATTCAAACCCAGATGGAGGGGAGGAAGGGAAGTGGCTATGACGGCAAGGAGTAACGACGAGAGAGAAGGAAGGGAAGCGGTACGCCGCCGTCGTGTTCGCTCCGCAAGCCGCCTTCGGATATGCTCTGCCCACTCACAAGCCGCCGTTGAGCACGTCGCCGCCAAGATGTCAACACCAGAATCGTCGGTGGTAGATCTCCTTTCCTCTCCTCCCCTGACTGAGGGCAACCTGCTTCAGATCGGCTCCAGTTGCAACGCCGCTCAAGGATTGGGATATCTTGACTCGGATTCTCTTCTCTAGGCGGCAACGGCGAGAGATGATAGATGAGAGATGGTCTTTGTTGGTTGTCTGCAGAGAGAGGTGAGAGGGGTCATGGGCTAGGGTTGTGATTCATTATTTGGATTTTGGGCTCAGGAAGGTAAGTCTTTTGGGCTTGTTGGGGGACTGGGCTATGATGATTATTGGGCTGGGCAGCATATTTTGGTTTGTCGGTTCGAAATTCGGAACCTCGGTTCGGTCAAAAGAACCCTGGTTTCCGAATTTGGCACATTCTCCTTCCGAATTCCGAACCGAATAACAATAATTCGGTTTCGGTTCGGTTTAAATCGGGTTCGGTCCGGTTCGGTTCGGGTTTACCGAACCGTGTGCCCACCCCTAAGCGCAAGGCTTTGGACGAGCGGAAAGCAGAGGGCAATTGGCGATCGAGTTTTCCCAGATAGTTTGCGCTAAGTTCATCGGGGAGCATATCATGTCAGTAACTGATGGGTCAGTAACCCATCAGAAATTCATTTTTTGATCTCCACGTGTCAGTCCCCTTTTTTTATTTAAATTAAATGCGGAAGGGCAGTGAGGTAAAATTGCACTTACTCCTATTTATTGCTGACGCTGACTTTTGACTGGACCACTTCAGCGCCTCCTCTCTCCTCGAAAAATCTTTAATTTTTCTTCTCTTAATCTTTAACGGACGATTTCTCACTCGTTTTAAGTCGAAATTTAATTTTTTTGCACAGTTAGATCAGATTAATTGTGCTCTTCAAAATGATATCCACTTTGATAATTTTTGGACATAAATTTTTTTTCCCCAGTTATTACCCGTCTATACCATATGGTATTGACTGGTATTAAATAAGACCATACCACATGGTATGGTAATATTTGCCACATCAATATATATTTCGTTACCACCCAATACCATATGGTATACACAATTCACACAATACCATAGGGTATAGTGTGGTAATATCAATATATATTTCGTTACAATACAAGGGAACTCTCTCATTGCCACTAGTGTTGATTGTGGTATGCAACTTTTCCCGCTTGCTTTTGTTTTAGTTGAATTGGAGAACATTGCTTGACCAATGATGATGTTTTGTAATGCATGATTTTTTAGAGTTATATTATTTGAACAAATCCCAATCCGCGGTAGTGGGGAAGTTGTCACAATTATATGGCATAATAGCAGAACGGGGGAGTATTCAGTGAAGGAAGGTTATTGTAAGTGGCTACAAGGCTTTAAGATAAGGAATGGAGTTACAAAAGTCGGAGAGGAGAAATTATGGAAGAAGATGTGGAATTTGGAAGTCCCGCCAAAGGTGAGGCAGTTCATGTGGAGGTTCACGAGGAAGATTTTGCCGACGGGGGTATTTGTGAACTACCGGAATCGAAGGATAGGGGACAAATGCCCTTTCTGTGATGCGATCGAGACCCAACAACATATATTTCTTGAATGTGGGTGGACCAAGCGGATTTGGAGGAGGAAAGATACGCGATCTTTGTTCGAACTTAGAGGAACCGAACTTTGGGTAGAGTGGGTATGGAAGGTGACGGACTCGGGTGAGGAGGAGCTGGTGAAGGAATGGTGTGTCCTGTTATGGTATCTCTGGAAGTAGCGAAACGCCCATCTATTTAATGGTGCAAAATTGCTTGAAGAGAGGAGATTCCGAGTCGCTCCACCAATCTTTTGGTAGATTACTAGCAGCACCAGCAGCGAGATGTTGAACCGGGTTGCTTATGATCGGTTTCTAATAACGGTTAATCATCGGTTATTCGATAAACGTTGAATCTCTTACTAATCCGGATCGATGTCCGATTCGGTTTTGACAATAATGTTATTCGACCCTTCTTTCCTAGCTCCAACCAAAAAAAAAATTAAGGATAGGTATTATATTCTTAATTATCTATTACTGTAACATTTTAAGATAAAAAGATAAGTGTATTATTATAGAATGTAAATTAAATAAGTGACACTGTATATTACATGATGGTGCGAGCCAATGATCCATCCGACATCCACCTACCCTGACACGTATTGGGAGGCTGCGGTTAGTTGACCGTGCACCACGTCAGCGGTCTGGCGCAAACTCTGGCACCCCCACAGTTTGCCTATGAAATTTTATTTTTCCGAAACTTCAAATAAATATAACTTTGTGCTCGGGTATCATATCATAGCGAAATGTTTTTTAATTCTGCAGAATTTTTCGAGATCTTGTAAGCTAATCCTGCTTTTGTCACGAAAAAACGTCGTTTGCTACCCCGAACGAGCAATTTTTCGATTTCACCAAACTTTAGACCAATGTTGTCAGAACCGAACCAGAGCATGACCCGAAATATGAACAACTCGCACTTTAGTGGTCCAACCGATATTGGGCCGTTTAAAAACCGTTGAAGAACCGATAAATTATAAACAATAATATCATAAGTAGAAGACACATATGGTAGTAATTGAACAATTTAATGACTAAAATAAAATTTACCAGGTACTACAAATTAATATTACATTATATATAATTGTAATTAAATAAATTTATCTAAACCCTAACCACTAAGCGTGCAAAAGCACCGCCCACTCTTACCATATCTCTCCCTCTCTCCCAAACCCTACCCCCACTAAGCCCCAGTGCCGCACACCCTCACTCCCCCCTCTCTCTCAAACTCTCCATTTCTTTTCTTCTTCTTTTTCTTGATTCTACTTCACAAAAATTCAACACTCAGGAGTTCGGCGACGAGGAGAGTTGGGTTCACCAGCAGGTGTTGGGTTCTACGGGAAGGGATCTGGTTCGACGGTAGGAGTTTGTTCGACGAGGAAAGTTGGGTTCGACGGGAAGGGCTGGGTTCGCTGGAGAGAGCGTCTGCGGTTGCGCTCGCTAGGTACGTTGGGACTCGGCCGGAATGGAGAAACCGGACAAGCGGGTCGAATGGTTCCGGCGGTTAACCGCCTCGACCGCTCCAAAAACCACTCCCGAAATCGCTCTGGCTTTTTGACTGTGCCGAGCCGGTTTGGTGACCGGGTGCCGGTTTTACCGGTCGGGCCGACCGACTCGGCTCGATTTTAATAACACTGCTTTAGACGGTCATAACTTTGTGCTCCACAAATTTGGACTACAACTTTTATCATAACTATTTTTGTAGAATTTCTGTGGATTTGTGAAAATTAAAACCAAAGTTATACCCAAAACACCTTATATCCAAAAATATTTATTGTTTTAAAAATATATTCCGAGTAAAACTTGTAGTCCTTCAAAAGTTATGTAGAATAAAATCAAATTTGATGATGCTCGACTTCCGAAGCACAAAGTTATGGCATTTCAAAGTTTGGCAAAATTGAAAAATTGCTTGTTCGGGGTTGCAAACGACGTTTTTTTGGGGGGATAAAAGTGGGACAGCTGTTTTCGGCTTGTAAGATCTTTAAAAATCATGTAGAATAAATTTTTTTAGCTACGATTGGATATCCGAGCGGCAAGTTATGTTCATTTGAAGTTTCAGCCTAAATTATAGGCCTTGATAAAAAAATTTCAAAACAAACCACCGGGGGTGGAGGGGGAGCTGCAAGTTAACCGCGGTCACCCCATGCGATTATTACACAATGAAAATCGAAGGGGCTGAAATGAAAATTCGCGGCACCTCCTCTGGACCTTTTGTAAAACGCCATACGGTACCACGTTTTTGTGAAAGGGTTGTATTTTTGAAAATTTTTGGGAATGGTTGGTATTTTTTATTTCACCAAACTTTAGACGGTCATAACTTTGTGCTCCACAATTTGGACTACAACTTTTATCATAGCTATTTTTGTAGAATTTCTTTGGATTTGTGAAAATTAAAGCAAAAGTTATACTCTAAACCCCTTATATCCAAGAATATTTATTGTTTTGAAAATATATTCCGAGTAAAACTTGTAATCCTTCAAAAGTTATGTAGAATAAAAATAAATTTGATGATGTTCGACTTCCGGAGCGCAAAGGTATGGCATTTCAAAGTTTGGAAAATTTGAAAAATTGCTTGTTCGGGGTTGCAAACGACGTTTTTTTTTTTTTATAAAAGTGGGACGGCCGTTTTTGGCTTGTAAGATCTCTAAAAATTATGTGGAATAAAATTTTTTAGCTACGATCGGATACCCGAGCGGCAAGTTATGTTTGTTTGAAGTTTCAGCCTAAATTATAGGCATTGATAAAAAAATTCAAAACAAACCGCAGGGTGTGGAGGGGGCCTGTAAGTTAACCGCGGCCACTCTACGCGATTATTACACAAAATGAAAATCGAAGGGGGTGAAATGAAAATCGCGGCACCCCTTTCCGGACCTTTTGTAAACCGCTATAGGGTCCCACATTTTTGTGAAAGGGTGGTATTTTTGAAAATTTTAGAGAATGTTTGGTATTTTTGGTTGTATTTGTGTAAAAATTTCATGATAATTTAATTGGACTTTTTTTTACTACATGCAACTTACCTAACCATAGATCAAAAGCATATAAGGAAATAATCAATCACAATTTATAAATATATATACAAGGAAGATGTAGACCCATCCTCTTAAGAGTCCAGCCATTGAAAAAGTCCATCCTTGAAATTATCATTACCAAAGAACCATCCCTCTAAAGTCTCTACAGAGACCACATCTCGAAAGCAACCGCGTGGATAATTGGAAAACCAACAACGCGCCTTAAAAACACGCCATAGCCCAATAGCCAACCTTTCCACACTGCAATTTCACCGAAACCCACTTCCTACGTCTACCCTCCATCCCCATATCTATATATACTCTTCATACAAACAACCAAAGACCCACTTCATCGATCATCATATCATTACATCCAAATCATACATCACCAAACATGGCAGACACGAAGCAAGCATCGGCACCGCTCAACGGAGCCTACTACGGCCCATCCATTCCTCCCCAACAGTCGTACCACTCCCACGGCCGCCGCTCCGGCTGCGGCTGCTGCGGCTGCCTCTTCTCCTGCCTCCTCAAGATCATCGTCACCATCGTCGTCATCCTCGGTGTGGCCGCCCTCGTCTTCTGGCTCGTCGTCCGCCCCAACAAGATCAAGGTCCACCTCACCGACGCCACCCTCACCCAGTTCAACCACACCCCCAACTCCGACAACAACCTGCTGCGCTACAACCTCGCGCTGAACGTCACCGTTCGCAACCCAAACAAGCGCATCGGCATCTACTACGACTCCATCGAGGCTCGGGCCTTCTACCGCGGCCAGCGCTTCGCCTCCGTACCTCTGGGCCCCTTCTACCAGGGCCACAAGAACACGAGCGTGCTGAGCGCGTCCATGCAGGGGCAGAACGTCATCGTTTTGAGGGGCGGCGACCTGGCCGACTTCAACCGGGAGAGCGCTGAGGGGGTCTATACTGTTGATGTCAGGTTCTATCTGAGGATTCGGTTCAAGTTTGGAAAGATTAAGACCGGAAGGATCAAGCCCAGGATTGAGTGCGAGATGAGGCTTCGCCCCAATGGCGGCGGCTTGGTCCCTGATCGTGATAATGAATGCGAGTTTGAGCGGATCTGGTTCAGGTGATTATATTCACATATATATATATATATATACATAGATGAGATTTATGGCAGGCAGCCTCTTTCTGTTTTGAATATCTTTTTCTTTCATTTTTTCCGCCATACTTTACACATACAGATATTTTATGTTCATGTCCATGTCCATGTGATCTATTCACCATTTACTTCATTGTGGTTAACTTTTCTCTAAGTTAGTTTTGCTCCCAGCTGCCTCTGTATCTATGGGTGCCGTATGTTTGTTTATAAATAAAATGAATTTCTGAGTTTTGATTTTTATTGTCCATTTCAATTGTCCGGTTGATATACGATGTTGAATTTTGAATAGACTAAATTTAGATGACGGGATTGTATTGCCATCTGACTATTCAAACACTAGTCGCCGTAACTGTTTTGACTTCTGATTACTAATTCAACAAAAGAGGTGAGGACTGAGGCGGCTTTTGATCGATGGTTGAGTAGTTGTTATGAAGTCATTGGATAAGAAAAATATAATCGGAGATTCGGTGGAGCATCCCAATCGATTACATTGTCATCCTCCAACCGATGACAAACTAATTCTCGAGATATCTATTTTAACTTATACTATAGATTAGTTGGGTCCAGATAGTATAACAACACCACAGGTGTTGTTAAGTGACATTAAGAATAATAAGGTCAAATAAAAATAAATTAACAAAATAAAATTTCAATTTAATAATCTCCCATCTGAAAACTCTCCTCTCGCTCCCGGTCTCACCTCATCGTTTCAAGATGGTCTCCGTCGTCGTCCACCGCAGACCTAGATTCTATGGTTTGGTCGACATGTATCGAGGCCGCCAATGCTATGTCATCTCATATCACGCAACCCTCATGCTCCATCTTCTCTAAGCCGCTAATAGAGATTTTGAAGATGGAACGAGATCTGAACTCTCATATCTGAGTTGCAATGTGTTTGGCGGCGACAATGGATGCAACAACGGAGAAGAAGGTTTATCAGTTGAGGAAGCAGTTGTCGAGGTTTGGTAAGCTAGTAAAGGGAGGATGATCCAAAGCTAAAGTCGCATTGTTGAGTGTGAATGCGAATGTAGGTGTTGGACCCGCAGCCAGTAAATTTCAACACTTTGATCGAGAATACAATTCCATCGTACTTCGGCCGGGAGATTCATGCCAAAATTAGATTGGTAAACGAAAGTCATCTTTTGTTAAGAAGAATCTGGTTGCGATGTACGCGATGTCAGAGTAGTCAACAAAAAGCAAAATACCACATTGGTGGGGAAGGAAAGTGCAAGTGGTTTATATCATAACTACCTACTTTATTTTATTGAATAAAGTAATAAGTTGGTTTTGGAAAAAGTGTGTGCAATTTAATTGGACATATAAAATGACACTACGCGTTTGGATTTGATTTTTTGGCTAATTAATTTCAAAATTATTTTATGATTAATTAATTTTGTAGTATTAAATGATTTTTGTGAAACGGCGCAATCCTTCGGAAGGAAATTTCCGTTTTCACAATAAAAGACTTCTGTAGCCAGACTTCTTCTCCCACGTTCATTTTCTTCTTCCCGTTTTCCTTTTCAAGACACAAACCCAGAAGTCAGAAAGATTGTTGCTTTCGAACTTCAATTTGAGAGACTCCTGGGGGTGATTTCCTCAATCCTACCAGCAATTAGTAGTGGGGGCAAATAACACTCTACGGAGAGTGATCTATCACGCAGTCAACCAGAAGAAGAAGAAGAAGAAGAAGAAGCCGACCCCCTATGTCTACGAATAATTGCTTCAATTGTGTGCAAATGGGACATATTTTTTGCTTTTGTCCTAATCCAAAGAGGCACCAGAACGAAGGGGCTGCAAGTGCAAATGTGATTAAGAAAGTTGAGCCTAGTGAGATTGTTGCAATGATTTCTTATTTACATGTGGGTATTGATGCAATCGGAAACTCTCAAAGACTCACAGACGCTCTTCTATGGAAAAACAAACAAACTTGCAAGCACAAAGCTTGAAAGATACTCTGGAATCCCCCGAGAATAATACCCTTAGAATTTATTGATCAAAATCAAAAGTCACCCTCTTCCTACGCAACATCAAGCCTTAAATATCCAATGTTCAACTATATATCCTTAACCGATTATCTATACAAAAGTATCAATATGCTTTCCATGTCTATATAACACATTTTAAACAAATGTTGTCAGTCCCAAATTCATTACAAGACTACCAGTATCAACCACCAGCCCACATAACAACCTGGAATCTATTAGAACAACAACCACTACACAAAATATCAATACTACCACTAAAAACCACCACTACAACTGGTACTAGTGGGACTATTCAATAAACTACTACTAATAAACTACGACTAGAACTAGTACCAGTGGCTGCACTACCACTAAAACCGCTACAAAAATATTAGTGCTAACACTAATAAACTGTCACCAGAACTTGTTCTAGTGGTACCATTCTAACAAACTACCACTAGAATTGGTACCAGTGGCAGAACTACCACTAGAACTCTGGGTTGCATCTTTTGCTTTTAACGTTGCAGTCAGAAAATAAATGCTTATAATCTACGGTACCCTCACCTGCAATGGTTTTCACAGCAACAAAAAGGGACGGTGGCGGAAGGATGTTCAGCTATGTTTTGAAACACAAAATAACTTGCATATGTAAGACTTCGATCAAAGCACGACAACAAGAAAAGTTGAAGAAGGGTAATGAGTAGAGAGCAACGGCAGAAACGACGACTCCGGGAGGGAAGACGAATGGTTGTCAAGAAGAATGAATGGTCATGTCGAGGGTCGACAGACAAGAAGAAGGGAATGCAGAATTTTACTTGAATTGGCCCTCCATCGAACCATCGGGTTTTCGAACTAAGCACTGGAGCGGAGGAGATGATGGACGGAACAAAAGAAACGCCGACAATACTGATTAGAGACGGTGAAAGGAAAAGGTTTTGTCATGGGCCACAACTTAGTGGGCCTCGCCGTCCTAGCCAAGCCCGCCAGCCCAATGTGCACTTTATCTGTAATTAGGGAATTTCAGCATAGTAGGAATTAGATTTTGTTTGTTGAGTCAGTTTTGGAGTCTTTGTTAAAGTGGTATTCAAGGTTGTTAGGAATTAATCACTTCCACCATAAGTGGAATGTGCAAATGGGAGTAGAAGGTAGTAGTTGCTGTTTTGTAGGGAATTAGTTATTGTGCACAGGTTTATATGCTTTAGATGAAAATGAAAGAAGGAAAGCAATATTTCAGAAATAGAACCTCTGGTTATTCTCGCCAAGAAAGGAGAAACCTGGTCTAATCCCCCCAAGAAAAGGGAGCTATCCAATCCAACACGTATCATTTTGGGAGACAATGGAGGGAAAGGGTTTTGGGTGAGTAGGATATTCGGGGATACGAACAGCATTTTCCGGGGGAAGGTGCTGATTTATCTCCCCAACCAAGTCTTTCCGTTTTCAAAACCAAGTTCATGTTAGGGCACAAGCACGTGAGATAATCCAACGTGACTCATTCTTTTTTGCCCCTGCCCACTATAGACCGTAGGATGGAGAGGAAGGGGGACGGACGACTGGAAAGGGGTAAGCAAATCTCATAACCCCCTTAAGGGTTGTGACGCTATCCAACCCGTTGTGATTACACAAGTAGACAGTTAATAATTTTCTTATCCATTAACCATTAAACAAAATAAACTAATTAAAAACTTAAGTACTAAGAAATTTTCGATTATCAGTTAATCACTAACTATCCTTAACAGTTCTGGTTGAAAGCAATATCCAAATAATGAATCACTAACCAACCTTAGCAGTTCTTGTTGAAAGCAATATCCAACTAACAGCGGCGGATCTGGGGGGGCCGCCCCTGGGCCGTGGCCCAACCCTCTTATGGGCCCAGAACCAATATACCTCTAAATATTTTTGAAATTTTGGATATTTGGCCCAGTGCACTTAAAAATTGGCCTAGTGTTAGTATTTTTTTTATTTGATGGCCCAGTTTTATTTGGTGGCTGAAAAATAAATCAAAATGCGCCCAATTTAAATCTCAATCTCTTCCAAAAATCGTGTTTTAGAGTCCAGAGTCGAAATGTCCAATCCTCTCGGACAGAAATAGAAGCTCTTGCTTGAGAGCTCTCGCTCAGCCCCTCCGCCGCTTCACTGCCACCATCCGATTATCGCCGCAAGTCCATCACCCGCCACTACCCGCGACCCGCGTCTGCCGCTGCTGCAAAATAACTGCCTGCAAGAGAAACCCCCCTAAATCTCATTCTCCGGCTGCCGCTGCTGCAAAAGCAAGAGCAAAACAAAAGTCCCCCACCCTCTCCGCTGGCCGCTGGTAAGTGCTAGACTAGTAGAAACCTTTCTTCAGCTCTTCTTCCTTTAATTGGCAATTGCTATTGCTGGTGATTGGTGAAGTTATACAAAAGTCCACCCACCCACCCACTTTCTATTTAAATATTACAAATGCAATACCCAATTCTCCAACCCCATGTTTGAGCAGTGCAGGTGAAGTTAAAAGGAAAAAAACAAAAAACTAATCTAGAAGACACAATTGAATATTGTTGATGTTTGTTTTTTTACGGTTGCTGAGTGTACAGTGTACATGTCACATGTGTTATGTGTATGATTAGTTATTTAATTGACTTTGCATATTTGAAGAATATTCATCTTGACATCTTCTCAAGCACCAAATAAAAAGGCAAAAACAACATTATTTTCTTACTATCAACGCAAGGAATCCGAAAAGTTTGAGATTGAAGAAGTCTCTCCTAATGAAGTTCTACCATCTTCCTCTCAAGTTCAAAACCAATCGTCAACCCCTCCTCCATCCGGTAATCTATATTCATCATCTGACAATGACATTGAAGTTGAAAGAGATCCATGAAAGAGGAAACAAATTTTTGATTGGGCTATTGAGTTAAGAGATGAGATTAGGAGAAAGTACCTAATTCACAAGGCTTATCAACCTAAACTCAAGTACTATAAGACGCGAGCATATCCAGATAGACTTCGTCGCTTTCAAGAGGTATGGTATGATCAATTTGATTGGTTGGAGTATTCACCTACAACACACAAAGCATATTGTTTCCCATGCTTTTTGTTTAGAGATAAGATGCATGTGACTCAAACTTCTGCATTAGTCCATGAGGGATTTGATAATTGGAAGAGGGTTCATCAAGGTACGGAATGTGTGTTCCTTCTTCATTTGGTTCATCAGCTTCTTCAGTTCATAATAAATGTGTTGCAACAAAGAATGCCTTGATGAAAACCTCCGGTCATATTGATAAAGTTATT